CTCTTAGCCTGACAGAGTGATCATTACATGGAGCAATATAATTAATATTTCTATTAAATCCTGCTAGAGATTATTACTAAAAATTGATATAAAACCTGAACATGAATTGTAAAGTATTCTGTAGTTTTGTAGACTTCTTCCCACATGCTTGCTTTTATCCCATATTTAAGCTTTTAAAGTGTATTTAAGTTTGTCACCATTTAAGATTTTGAATATAATCCTGTCACCAACAAATGTTTTCGTTTTCTTTGTCCATATGTAGATATGGTTCCTCTCTTGTGTCATGTTCAATTTATGTTCAATTTTTGTAAATGTCAGCATTATTTTGCAAGTAATTTTACAAAGTGTCACAGATAGAATTTTTAAATGACCACATCTATCTGGATTACTTAATAGTTCCTATCCAGCTGGGCATTTTTATGGTTTCCAGAGTTCCTCAATTACAAATAAATGCTATTAGACAAAATCTTTGTAAATGCAATTTTGTTTTTGTTTTTGAATTATTGCCTGCTGACAGATTCCCAGGAGTATGATTATACAGTCATAGACAAACCAAACCTTGCAGTCTTTGAGTTTTATGTTTTTTTCTCTATTTTTTGCCTGTTTTGTTAAAAATAGTTTCATTATTTGAATTTGTATTTCTTAATCATTAGCAAGATAGAACTTTTCCCCATGGATTTAATACTTCTGTATTCTCTAATGTGAATTATCTGTTCCATATTTCTTGTCTGTTTATCTATAGAGATTTTACATGCATAAGCTCAGAACCCTTTATGATCAATCATTGATTATATATTTACCTTTAATACATTATGTTCTCTTTTGTGCTGATTTTGATTTTTCAGTACACAGAAATTTTTGAAAACCTTCAGAACACTGCACTTTGACCTTCCTTGATGGATGATTTTCTGTGTTTCATTTTTCTGCTTTTCCAGGCACCCAACAGGAGGATCCTTTATTCGTCCTAACAAGGTAAATTTTGGAATAGACTTTCTTACTGCAGTTAAGAACCGCTATGTGTTAGAAGATGGACCAGAGGACGATGGAAAAGAGCAAATTGTTATAATCGGAAGTAAACCTGTGGAAACTATTGGTTTTGACTCTGTTATAAAACAGCAAAGGTAAGTGGAGTTGACAGTGGTAGAGCTGACTTTTAAGGTTTCATCAAGGTTCGAGGTTGACTTCCCATGACCGTATGTGGATGCTCAGGACTTTGCTCCCAAACTGGTTTATCCTTTCTATGCAGAAGTGAATTGAAATCTGAAGAATCCAAGGATTGAGTATTCAGGGAGATTAAAACTCCTATTTTAGCATAGGAATAGTAGATTTTTCTAGATTATAATTGAAATATTGATTTGCCCATTATTAATATTTACACCATATTATCGTGTGTTGATTAATTATTAAGTAACATTTTGGTCCCTTTCCATTTCATGGTGACATTTCCAGTTGGATGATAAGTTAGGAATGGAAATAGAAGTCCAAATTGTCACCTATGCCATGGAGAGTGCTGCCACCATCCTGCAGGGATAGTTCCCACCTCTGGCTGCACATCTTTATCACCTGGGGAGCTCTGAAACATGCAGAATCCTGGGTCATATCCCAGACCTGCTGAATCAGAATTTTGGGGTATGGACTCCAGGAATTTGCTTATAATAAGGGCCCCAGTCTGAGGGGCACTAAATAATACATTTTAAAACTGCTGTACCAGAGCACCTCTTGTCTCTCAGACCCTGTGCAGTGACTCACTACTCATTCCAGTGAACTGCTTGAATCAGAGAGAGTGGGAGCTGATATTTACACAAAACCAGCCATAGCTGCACAAGAACCTGCCAGGTCACTCAGCTGTAGTGATGGTTAGTGCTGTGGTGTTTGACCTGGACCAGGCATCCAAGGAGTGACCCCTTTGTGACCACTGGGGAGACTAGACTTGTGACCACTTGGCATAGGCCTGCAATTTTTTATTTTCAGTCGCTAAAGTAAAAGAATTAAGCTGTAGTTCTGTCCAAAGTGAATTTCTTTCCTGTCTTTTGTTATTGTAGTTATTAAGATTTAACATAATACAAAATTAAAGTGCACCTGGGACAATGTTGAAGAATAAATACATTTCTCACACCTCTACTCTTTAGCGTAGATGACCCTCATTTAAAAAGACTCAGAATAAATCAAGATTTCAAAAAAGAGCAACAACTTCACTATTTTTTAAATTGTAAACCAATGTACATTCATTGTTGAGAATTTAGAAAATACAAATTAAAAAAAAGTCACAACTAATGCCACTACCTAGAGATAACTATCACGAACCTTTTTTTTGCTATTTTATCCTACTGATTTACTTGGATTTAAAGAACCATATGCTTCATAGGATTTGAGTTCTTGACTTTATTTTTTCCATTTAAAATACAAATATTGGCCAGACGCAGTGGCTCATGTCTGTAATCCTAGAATTTAGAGGAGGCCGAGGCAGGAGGATTACTTGAGGCCAGGAGTTCGAGACCAGCCTGAGCATCATAGCGAGACCCTTTTGTCTCTACAAAAAATAGAAAAATTAGCTGGGGGTGGTGGCATATGCCTATAGTCCCAGCTACTCAGGAGGTGAGGCAGGAGGATCCATTGAGCCCAGGAGTTTGAGATTGCAGTGAGCTCTGATGATGCCACTGTGCTCTAGCTCAGGTAACAGAGTGAGATCCTGTCTTAAAAAAATAAAAAATAAGGCCGGGCAGAGTGGCTCACGCTTTAATCCTAGCACTCTGGGAGGCCGAGGCGGGCAGATTGTTTGAGCTCAGGAGTTCGAGACCAGCCTGAGCAAGAGCGAGACCCCGTCTCTACCAAAAATAGAAAGAAATTAATTGGACAGCTAAAAATATATAGAAAAAATTAGCCGGGCATGGTGGCACATGCCTGTAGTCCCAGCTACTTGGGAGGCTGAGGCAGTAGGATCGCTTGAGCCCAGGAGTCTGAGGTTGCTGTGAGCTAGGCTGACGCCATGGCACTCACTCTAGCCCGGACAACAAAGTGAGGCTCTGTCTCAAAAAAAATAAATAAATAAATAAAAAATAAATATTTAAATATATTTTACCCAAAAGAGTCACTTTTTTTCTTATTGATTAATCTCTTTCAAAGACTATTATGAGCTCTGAGAATATTAAATTATAAACAGATTTTCTTCCCCTAGTTTATAAATGACTACATAGCTCATGAATTTTCCTGGTGACTAACCCTAGTACTTGAGTATTATTGCATTTAATAATTTACTAGTGCCTTTCTTGACTGAAAGGATAAAATTGTTGAGATTCTGTAGCAATCTCTTATGTTGGCCAGAGATTAATTTAGTAAATTAAGAAATTGAGGCGGCTTGATAGAATGCACCAAATGTTGGAGTTAGGCCCAGTTCCAATGCAAGCTAAGCCACTTCTGGCTTTGACTAGTTAGAGATAGTTACTTATCATTTCTAAGCTTCAGTTTCCTCATTTACAAAATAATACTCAAGATGTTAGTGCTGTTGCAAATAACAAATGAGATTCTGCAATTAGTGGTAGCTGTCATTGTTAGGAATTGAAGCTTCTACTTTCAGCCATTGTCTTACAGCCTTAATAATACCCAGCTGACTAGCTTTGAGTTTGTACCACTAAGAAAAGACTTACACAATAAAGGAATCAAAAGCAAATAAAAACCATTATGTATCATTTCTCTTGGAGATGGTTTTGGCTCTGGAGTGATGCCCGTATTGAGACTTGGGTCCTCAAGCTTTGTGCCAAGTTGTGCCGGGCAAGGCAGGATATTTACATTTTAGAAGGAAATAGCGACATCTGTCAGACATAGTGCAAACTACTAGTTTGGGGTAATTCACATTTCATGAGATTCCTACAATTCCTTTGGATGATGTCATATTCCTGCAAAGCTGGGTTTTGGGTGATTGCTATGATAAAAATTATTTATGTACATCTATTATACATTAATAAAGAAATTTTTTTTTTAAAAAGCAAGTGTCTCGAAAATCAATGTGGAACAGGAGATGAAATTATTTCATTTAGCATAATATGCTCAAGGTTCATCCACGTTGTAGCATGTGTCAGAATTTCCTTCCTTTTTAAGGTTGAGCAATATATCATTGTATGTACATACCACATTTTGTTTATCCATTCATTCGCCTGTGGACACTTGTGTTGTTTGCACCTTTTGACAGTTGTGAATAATGCCGCTGTGAGCTTGTGCATATACCACAGCATTTCAAAGATGTGAAGTCTGAGGCACAGAGATGTTAATTAACTTGCCCAAAGCCAAAGGAGATGATGGAATTGGATTTGAACCCAGGTAGTCAGGTTCCACATTCTCTGTTTTTAGACATTATAATATGTGGATTCTTTTAATGAATAGAAAATACAGATTTTCTACACTTAAACAATGGTTCCTGAGAGTAGTAAAGTTGAAGCTATGCACGCTCTCTAGCATGTATCTCTAGGGACGGTGACATGCAAGAAGTGTTCAATAGTGTTTACTTCAGTATGGTTGTAAACAATCTAAATGTCAACAGAAGAGTAAATAAATTGTGGTGTGTTCATATAGTGAAAAACTATAAGGTATCAATAGTGTACCTGGAGCTCCATGTGTCAATATGGCTAAATCTCACTGTGGAACAATATACTGTTGAGGAAAAAATAAGTCGCAAAGAGGCTCTACAAAGTAGACTACTGTTTATATCAAACTTCATAATATACAAAAATGCCCCAATTGCTTAGGGATATGGAAATATATAGTAAAAGTATTAAGAAATGTTTAAGATTAAATATACCCCAAATGTAGTGTAGGTTGCCCCGGGGGCGTGGGAGAGGATAGGACTGTGTCACGCTGAGGGACACAAAAGACCTCAGTTGCATTTGTAATGTCTACAATGTTTTCTTTTTTCTTTTTTTCTTGTAATGCTTTATTTCTTAATTTGGGTGGTGAATTACTAGTACTTGTATATTATTTTTGATACATTTTTGTGTGTCCGAAATGCATGCTGTTTCATTTTTTAAAGGACCATTGGGTAGCATGCGTGTTTATGTGTCCATGTGAACTCTGTTTTTCATGCAGTCAGCTGAGCAAGTTGCAAGACATTTCTCTGAGGAACTGTGCAGTAAGTTGTGCTGGTGAAAAAGGAGGAATTGCCAAAGCATGTCCTAGTATCCTTTCACTAATAGCTTGTTACTGGAATCTGACTTTAATGTGACACTTGGGCCACATACCTCAAGTTGCCTACCCAGTGTCCATTCTCTCTGACTTTCTTCCTAATAGCAACCCAGTTTTGCTTGGGGCAGCTGCTGCCCAGATAAATCACTTACCTTCCCAGTCCCCTATGCTTGCAGGTGTGCCAGCGTGATGCCCCCAGCCAGCGTGATGTGAAGTAGAATCTCTAGATGGGACTTCTTACCCTCCTTCCTGCCTTGAGTGCAGATGGAATGCCCAGAGCTTCAGCAGCCTGATCTCTGCATAGTAATTTGTGCAAAAAATAGCCGTTTATGACTGATTTTATCTGAGTTGAAGAGATGCCAGATGAAGTATCTGTCATTAGCAGAATGTTCTGACAGTGTGGTGACAGAAATCCGAGCAGAGCTTCCCCCTCTGGGGTACCTGAGATATCCCCTTGGGGGAACAGCCTTGGGGGTCTTTTGGGAACTGGAGCAGCTGCAGTCTGAGCCGGTCACCTCTGCAGTCCCTCTCCTGACACGAGCAGGCTGCACAAGTGTGGCCGTTTCCACAGATAAGGCAGCTGGAGTCGCGGGGTGGGGGTTGGGATTGATGTGGATGCAGAAAAGAGTTTGGTAAGGAGCAGAGTGCCACAGAAGTGTCTGGAGCATCTGTATGCTGCCTGGCCTACTTTTTTTTTTTTTTGAGACAGCATCTCACTGTGTTGCCCGGGCTAGAGTGCCGTGGCGTCATCCTAGCTCACAGCAACCTCAAACTCCTGGGCTCAAGCGATCCTCCTATCTCAGCCTCCCGAATAGCTGGGACTACAGGCATGCGCCACCATGCCCGGCTAATTTTTATATATTTTTAGTTGTCCCAATTAATTTCTTTCTAATTTTAGTAGAGACGGGGTCTCGCTCTTGCTCAGGCTGGTTTCGAACTCCTGAGCTCAAACAATCCGCCCACCTCGGCCTCCCAGAGAGCTAGGATTACAGGTGTGAGCCACCGCGGCCGGCCTGCCTGGCCTACTTTTAAGTGATTTTAGGAGATCGGTAATTGGGGGTTCCTGACCAGGAAAGGACCTGCTCAGGAGATGGGTTTGGGAATGTCGGTTGTTTGGTTGATCTGAGTTGTCAGCTGTGTACCGGAAAATCAGCATATTGCTTGTTTATACTGCTCTTTCCTGGGGAAAAAAGTCCCCCAAGACAGGAAGAAATGAGGTTTTGTGAGATAATCAAGTCACTCTTGGTATTTGCAGATACAGTGATGAATGTCTTAAAGCTCCTGATTGAATCCTGCCAGAAGTTGACATATTGCCTTGCATGTTTAATCCAGTCATCTTCCTTTGGGTTGATCTCATCTCTCTGTGAGGTTGTTCACTCAGTCGGAACGCAAGGCAGTGAGCGTCAAGTCACAGAGCACTTCCAGGGGAGGGGACCAGCTGCCTCCTGCCTCATCAGCTGGCTCTCAACTTGGGAAGAAAATCTGTCCCCAGGAGCAGCACTGTATAGCCGCAAGAACTCCTTAACCGTGTGTGTGTGTGTGTGTGTGTGTGTGTGTGTGTGTGTGTGTGTAGGGGGATGCTACTTTAACAACTGCTGTATTGTTTAGCATCCATTTCAGAATGTAGGTGGTCTGTGTGCTCTGTACAAATGGGTAGGAATATTTCTAATCTAGTCTACGTAATGGGAAGTAGGAGTCAGTGAAAAATCACTGGATTTAAACCTTTTCTAGGCAGGGCGCAGTGGCTCACACCTGTAATCATAGCACTCTGGGAGGCCGAGGTGGGAGGATTGCTTCAGGTCAGGAGTTCAAGACCAGCCTGAGCAAGAATGAAACCCTGTCTCTACTAAAAATAGAAAAATTTAACCGGGTGTGGTGGCATGCACCTGTAGTCTCAGCTACTTGGAAGGCAGAGGCAGGAGGATCCTGAGCCCAGGAGTTCAAGGTTGCTGTGAGCTAGGCTGATGCCACAGCACTCTAGCCCGGGCAACAGAGCGAGACTCTGTCTCAAAAAAAAAAAACTGCAAAAAACCTTTTTTAACCAACCTAATGACCCAGAGTTAACAGGTTAGCGGAATTGAAGGTTGGCCAAAGTGTCAGACTGAGGCATGAAAAGCACCCAGTGTGTTTTCATGTGAAGGTGGACACCAGCATCCAGGGTGTAGTGGCCGTGGGGAACCCAGGGTAGCCCAGGGAAACCTGGGGGAGGAATAAGCGATTGGTGGTGGAAGTGTGTCCCCAAGGTGGTGGAGGAGCCCGAGGGGACCTAGAGTATGTTTGCTATGTCTGGCACTCTAGGCAGCCTGCACTTGTCATTTTTCCCCCTTCTGTTTGATATGACATTTTTGGGTAATCAGTATTCTGCTTGTGGCAGAAACTCAGACTGTTGGAGCCAGAAGCCTGGCTTCCCCTCGCAGTCTCGCTCCGCCAGCACTAGGACCCGTGAGCTTGGGAGCATCGTGCTGCTGGCATCCCACCGTGGTGGGCTGGCTATTCTGTCCCTAGGATTCTTGGCATTATTTTCTACACACCGTCTGTGCCCCATGTTCTTCTAAAGTCTTCTTTAGGTCAGGGTCAGCAAGCTTTTCCTTAAAGGATCAGATAATAGGCTGGGCACAGTGGTTCGCATGTGTAATCCCAGCACTTTGGGAGGCTGAGGCAGGAGGATCACTTGCACCCAGGAGTTGGAGGCTGCAGTGAGCTACGATGGTGCCACTGCACTCCAGCCTCTGCTACAGAGTGAGACAGTGTCCCTCCCTCACCCCACCCCTGCCCAAAGGCCAGATAATGAATACTTTAGGCCTGCGGGCCAACAGGCAACATGGAGGATATTACGTAGGTACTTAATATTACCGTTTAAAATGTAAAAGCCATTCTTAGCTTTTGGGCTGGGACAAACCCAGCAGCTGGCTGGATTCTGGTGCAGGCCGGAGGTGGCCGACTGGGTCTGGAGCCATCCCTTTCGTCGCATGCGCACTGCCTGCCTTTCCTGGTTCCTGACCTACGTGCACAGCTTCCTCATTGGGTCCTGCCTAAAATTGTTCCCTTTCCAACCAGTCCTCTGGAGTGCTGCCACGATTTTTATAAAGAAACTTTCTCCATGTTTTATCCATGTTTGACAACTCCCTGTTGCATTGTGGGGTGTGATAAAATGGATTTTGGATTAAGACAGAGTTGTGTTTAAATTCGTACTTGTTAATTTGCACAAAGTTACAGTTATCTGATAGCTCTGTGCCTCAGTTTTTCCTCCTATGAGAAAGGAACATGAGACAGCAGCCGGCTCAAGCCTGGGGCCAGGTTAGCAGTGGCATCAGCAGGGATAGGAGGTGGTGATGGTGGTGATGATGGTGGTGATTTTTATTGAGTCTCGACGCTCTTCTCTCCTCACTGGCCACTCCTCCTAAGTGTCTTTTTCGGGACCCTTCTCTGGACGCAATGTTGGGGGTGACCCAAGACTCAGACCTTTGACCCCTGGCTTCCCAGGGAGACCTTCTGGGGTGTGGCTGGCACGCCTCACAACTGTTCCCCTTTCACTCTTGTCTCTCTAGCTACTTGTCTGATATACCTGTCTGGGTGGCTAACCGTCATCTCAAATCTAGTGTGTCCAAAACTAAGGCCCCTCAAACCTGCCCATCTGGAGCCGTCCCCTCTTAGTAAATGACTATTCCAGTTGCACAGGCCACAAACCTTGGAGTTATCTGTAACGCTCCTTTTTCCTCACATCCCACACCAAAATCCATTGGCAGATCCTGTCAGCTCCTCTTCCAGATTAGGATGCCCAGTCTGACATCTCCCGTCCCCTTCAGTGCCACCAGTCTGGTCAGAGCCTCCTGACTAGACTTCCTGTCCTCCTCTGTTTCCCTGCAGTCTGTGGCTCAGTCGGCAGCAGAGTGACCTTTTAAAGCCCCAGGTCAGATCCCATTGCTGCTCCAAACCCTCCAGTAGTTCCCACTTCAGGCGGAGACTAGCAAAGACTTCGAAGTGGCCTGCAAGGCCCTTTATGATCAGGCCTGGCCCCCCTGTGGCCTTTGTGACCTTGTTTCCAGCACCCTCAACCCCGTCTGCTCCAGGCCCACTGGAGCTGGTGATCCCTGTCACGGGCTGAACCCATTCTCACCCCAGGCCTTTGCTCTTTGCCATCCCCAGCCTGGGAGACCCTTTTCCCGAATGGCATTCCCTCATTTCCTTCCGTCCTCTGCTCGAGTGCCGTCTTGTTAGGGGAGGTGGTCTCCCCTGTAAAATGCCCACACACCCTTTCCTGTGTGCCTGCTCTGTTGCTCTGAGCATGGCCCGTCTCTGACACACTGTGGAGGCTCTTGCTTCAAAATTGTCTCTTCCCCATTGAGACTTCGCTCACTGCAATACGCCTGGCCTCAATACTCCTTGTGGAACAGATGAGTGAATTGAACAATTTCCCAGTATTTCAAATTAGAGTGCAAGGTCTTCCTTTAGCTGGTCCAGTCCTGCTCCAAGCTTCTCTTCTGTCTCTTGGTGGGCACTTTGCTAAGCTTTGCCCCTTGCAGTGGCACTGCTCATGCGCCTCGCTCCTTGCTAGCAGTCACACTGGCCCGTCAGCTCAGGTCCCTGAGCTGGGATCTGACCTTCGCTTTTTCCATCCTGCTGGTTTACCCTTCTCTGAATCCCTCTACCAGAGGTGGGGCGTGTCGTAGTAACTGCTTCTAGGCTACAGGAGACCCTCTGAACCCCCAGATCATTCTCAGCACATGTGAACATTTGTCTGAGCCAAACCCTGTTCTCTGTCCTGGAGATGATGCTGTCCTATAAGCCACATGGTGCGCCATAGGAGAAGGTCACGGGCATGGTGTGAGGCTTGCAGCTGCTAAGCAGTGCCGAGGGCAAGGCCTGTTGGTGCACCTTAGGTGCTTAATAAATCGGTTACCATCACTGCTTTTTCTCCCCTCCCCCTTTGTTGGATAGTGCTAGGATGGTTTACTGTTAGGACATTTGGTTCTTATTCATTTGATTGTAGATGTTTGTCTCAAGTTTTGATTTTATGACGATGAACTTTTTAGTTTCTTAATGAACAGTTGGGTGATTTAAAAGATAGAAGTATGATATGCTCATGACAAAATTTCCAGCAGAATATGAGGGTATAAAGTAAAAAGTTAAAGATCCTGGCCGGGCGCGGTGGCTCACGCCTGTAATCCTAGCTCTCTGGGAGGCCGAGGCGGGCGGATTGTTTGAGCTCAGGAGTTCGAAACCAGCCTGAGCAAGAGCGAGACCCCGTCTCTACTAAAAATAGAAAGAAATTAATTGGACAACTAAAAATATATAGAAAAATTAGCCGGGCATGGTGGCGCATGCCTGTAGTCCCAGCTCCGGGAGGCTGAGGCAGGAGGATCGCATGAGCCCAGGAGTTTGAGGTTGCTGTGAGCTGGGATGACGCCACGGCACTCTAGCTGGGGCAACACAGTGAGACTCTGTCTCAAAAAAAAAAAAAAAGTTAAAGATCCTGTGCTCCAGAATCAAGAGTAACTACTTTTATGTCTTTTATGAATCTTTGAAATTACTGTTTCTTAACCTGTGCTTTTAGATATTAGAAAGGTAGATTTGTCAAAAAACCTGTTGTCCTCGTGGGATGAAGTGATACATATTGCTGATCAGCTCAGACACCTGGAAGTTCTCAATCTCAGGTATGAACTCTTGGTTGCCTAATTGTCACGTGAAACTCCTGCTGTCTCCTTGCTCCTTCATGGCGTCTCCGTGCAATGAGGAGGGGAAGATGAACAGAATGAAGGCCGCCACCTGGTAGACATTTCAATTCAGGCAGATTTTGGCTCACTTTAATTTATCTGAATTTAACTTAGTCCTCAAGGGCACATTGTTACAGTCTTACAGTTGGTCCTATGAGGCGATTCATTAACAGGGAACGTGTTTTGCTGTTGACTGGGTGGGGGATGAGGTAGGTTGACATTGAGCTGAAAGAGCTCATATTGTAAGCCTGACCATAAAATATGGAACACTGGGGAGGTGATGTTTGGTTGGGGAGTAGGAGAGGAGAAGTGATATTAATAATATTAAAAGTGATTGTTTATTTGGAAGCTTCTAGCATTTAATTGGTTTAGGTATAAGTTCATTGGGATACTGCTTAATTCCGTTTTGATAAGGATTTTTCACTAATGTACCTATTTTACTAATGTCACGGTTTCCAGGCCTTCCTGAATATTTGATTAGTTTTAATCCCAGAACCTACCTTTCCCAGGCCTTAGCCAGGCTTTCCCTTTCACACTTGAACCAACTTTGCATACACAGGTGAGTTGTACCTGGCCGAGGCAGGTAGTCAGGCCTAAATTAGTTGTGTTCCCCAACAGAACAGTTGGGGGTAATTTGACCCATGGTGTCTCTTCTGGAAATAGGAGCTCATGCTTTTTAATGTTACCTTCTTTCAAAGTGACTGTCAAGATCAAGTACTTGCTGATATTAGGCTATTGAGAGAGAATTTAAAGGGCAGTAATATGTTTCAGCCATATTCCTAGCCGAAGGGCAGACTGTGATTAGAGAAGCAGAATTCCAGCCCATGATCTAGCAGGACTCTTGCGAACAGGACTTCATTTTGCAATGCCCAGAGCCACACCTTGTGAAGCCAGAAGCTAACCCTACGAATGCCTGGAAGCCTGCAGCCCCACGCAGCTGCCCCAACCCTGTGAAACCGTCTTTGTGTGCCAGATACTAAAAAGTTGTAAATATGAAAAATTGGGTTGCTTGACTCACTTTGTTTTTAATAGAATTTCAATTAAGTCACAAGTTGTTGCCTTCAGTGTTTAAGTTGGGTCTACTGTATTGTATTTTCTTTTTCCACACAGTGAAAATAAACTAAAATGTCCCTCTGGTTCAGCATCTCTAACTGGAACATTTTCAGCACTGAAGGTTTTAGTCCTCAATCGGACGGGAATAACGTGGGCTGAGGTAATCGTATTTCTTTGGTTTATTACACAATGATAAGCAATTAAATTTTTTTGATTTAATAGGGAATTGAAGTACAAATGTGCCTTCATTTTACTCATCCTATTATCCACATAATGGGATTTTTAAACTGCCTTATAGAAAGGAGTTAAAAAATCATTGTTTTAAGTAGAATTTAATACCTAGGAACCCATATTCTCTCGGCTCACTTTGGTTTGTTCTAGTGTCTTTCTAACCAGTGGCACTCCATCGTGGTGTGCAGGAACTATGGGCTGAGCTTCTAAAAGCTGTAGCGTTGGCTGCTTATTGAGCTCCCTGAGCTTTCCTGGAAGTTTTTTCAGGGCAGAAGCCAAGCCGCAGAAAGGTTCTCTTCAAGCTCGGCTCCTAGAATCCGCTGTTGCACACAGCTGGGCTCAGAGGCGGACTCATGTCCTTGGCCCAGCAATAGTTATATCTGGTACTGCTGCTTTCTGTCAGGGCTTTATTGACTTCACACACCCAGAATATTCCATTTTCAAACCAAGCTCATAGAAATACATTCCCAGCCATGTTCATCCATGAAATGCCACAGGGGCAGCTCAGCGACAGACAGTTGCCCTTTAACTTGTGCCCTTAACGTGCCCATAGCCATGGAACTTCTTTTCTAGGGCTCCTTCCTTGTGAAGTACTTACTCCCTCCTCACGTACAGATTTAGCCTTAAAATAGGGCACACAGAAATTCAGGTGGTAGGCCGGACACGGTGGCTCACGCCTGTAATCCTAGCGTTTTGGGAGGCTGGGGTGGGAGGATTGCTTGAGCCCAGGAGTTTGAGACCAGCCTGGGCAATGTAGCAAGACTCCATCTGTACAAAAATGAAAGAAATTAGCCAGGCATGGTGGCACACACCTGTAGTCCCAGCTACTTGAGAGGCTGAGCGGGGAGGATCACTTGAGCCCAGGAATTTGAGGCTACAGTGAACTATGACCATGCCACTGCACCCCACCTTGGGTGACAGAGTGAGACCCTGTCCCTTGAACAATGATAATAAATAATTGAGCATATTCTTTACAAGCCTAGATTGGCATTTGCATTGAGGAAAGGTATTATATTTAACATCAGTTTCCTTCTTCTGGTTAAGCAAACCGTCAAATGATAAGAACGTGTTCAGTCTCCATCTCCAGTTCCACTTTGGAACTGCCTCACTTAAACTGTGCAGTGACACCTACCTTGATGGGTTCAAAGTGCCATAAGCGTGTGCTCCCATGGCATTAAAATGTGGCCCTTTAGCATTTTAATTTATTACCCCTTCACCACTACTCTGTGCCTGAAATCAGTCTGTATGAACTGTCCACGAGGCTTTTTATTTCTGAAATAGTCACTAAACTGAATTCCCGTGGAGGTTAGTGAGGAACACGTGGGAAGAAACGACCTGCAGATGCTGCTGCACTCTGAATCGAGTTTCCCTTCCAGGTGCTCCGGTGCGCCTCTGCGTGCCCCGTCCTTGAGGAGCTGTACCTCGAGTCTAATAATATTGTCATTTCAGAAAGGTAACAGGGTTTACTTAAATGCATCTGTAACCACTTAGTTGTTCTGAATAAATAAGTGGTCTTAATTATGTCTAACGTTAATTTTTAGAAGGATTTGCAAATAAGAATGAGAAAAATGCTTATTATTCATTGCCTTCACAAATCAAAATGTCAACTAAAACTTCACTAATTGGTTTTAATTGAGGGAAACTCATCAGATTTAAATATTTGTGAAGACATGAATTTTATTAGTTTTGCATAAATGTATTTAACTTGCTGTTTCTAAATGGGAGTTCTGTACAAGATGCTATAGATTAAATAATGCATTTTTAATTAGCACTAACTGTTTAAGGTCAATTTACTAAAGTATATGTAAAAGCTTGTTCTCCTAAATAAATATGTTGTTGCTTCATCTCCTCCTATTAAATTACTGTGTAAAGTAACTTAAGTATGGAAAATTTACAATAAATTCTCAATGAAAGGATTGGAATTAATAAGATTTTATTGTACAGAATGGTTTCATTTATTATTACAAGTGAATGCCGATTTTTTAAATTAAACTTTTTATTTTGAAATAATTGTGGATTCCCATGCACTTACAGGAAGTAATACACAAAGATCTGTACCCATTACCCAGTTTCCCTCATTGGTAACAAGCTGCAAAACTATGGGACAGTATCACAAGGGGGATACTGATACAGTCAGGAACATTTGCATCACCATAAGGATCCCCTCTGGTTGCCCTTTTATAATAATCCATTTGCCTCTTATCCCCAACCCTCCGTAATACCAAATGCAGGTGTTTTAAGGCTATATCTCTGAAAATAATTAAGAGATGAATTCACGTTGAAAAAACTTTATTTTCCATATAGGCCAACTGATGTCCTACAGACTGTCAAGTTGTTAGACCTTTCTTCTAATCACTTAATTGATGAAAGTCAGCTGTTTCTGATAGCATATCTGCCCAGGTAACTTGCTCCTAAATGCCTGTCACAACAGTGCTTAGTAAATTTTTAGTGAATGAGTTTTCATATGCTGTATATACTTTCTCAATAGAAATATGAGAAATATGGAATTCTTAAAGAGAGTAATCCACATTGGGGAATTTTTATTTTAATCCATTTAGAGAATTTACTTGTGAACTGCGTACAATGGGGACTATGTACTAGATAATTTGATGAGTAATTTGACTCTGGTAATAATGCCAAAGGCCTTTATTAGACTTTGGGCAGGAAGACCATGTCTCTTTCCTCCGAGACCCATTTAGCACGGGCACAGCAGTGCTACCCAGAAACTGTTAGATGACTGTAGACTCATTAGAATATATTAACAGCATAGAGTCTACTTTGCATGCCCTAAATTGGACTTTATGGTTTCTAAGTAATTTACATGGGAAGGAAACCCAGAGTATAGGCAGAGTATAGACCCAGAGTATAAACCCAGAGTATAGACATTTATGGATCTAGTCTGGTTGATAGCCCATAGCATTTTATATTGTTCTATGTCATCAAATTTAACATTTTTAATTTTAGATTGGAACAACTAATTCTCTCTGACATTGGAATTTCTTCTATACGTTTTCCGGATGCTGGAATTGGTATGTAAGATTAGTAAAGTTTCCCCCGCCCTGACACTTTACCTGTTTCACTTATATGGTGTAACTTAATTCTCCTTTTTCTAGGGTGCAAAACGTCAATGTTCCCAAACTTGCAGTACCTTGTAGTAAATGACAATCAGATATCACAAGTAAGAGTTTCTTCAGAGTGCGCAGAGCACATCATTGCTTATTTCTACTCTGATGGTGGAGTCTGGACGTTCCTCCTTCTATTTCTCAGAATGAGATGCCGCACATAAAGTAAAAAAATATTAAGAAAGAAATTAGTTTAATTCACACTTAAGCAGACTGTCATTTTAAATGGCAGTTAGAGTGAAAGTGTGTGGTTTGCCTCGGGTCGGGGGCTCAGTGCATGACACAATTCCCTGCCTCAGAACTAGGGACGTGGCTTTTCTGTTGCTAGTTCAAGTAGTACGGAGAAGTGGCCGGAAGCCTGTTGCTTTTCATTTATTTCCTCCTTCTGTGTTTCAGTGGTCATTTATCAACGAGCTAGACAAGTTACAGAGTCTGCACGCTTTGTCCTGCATCAGAAACCCCCTGACGGAAGGCGACAAAGCAGCACAGACCACGCGGCAGCTCATCATCGCCAAGGTCGGTCAGCTGAGGATGCTGAACAAATGTGAGGTGAGCGCCAGTATCACGACTGGGTCGTCTTTAGGCAAGAAAATAAATGATCAAAAATGTATAAAGAAACTATACGCGACTGTTGTAAAGGGTATGAGATGGAGCTGTCCTTCACATGGCGAAACACTGCTGCGCACCTTAGTCACACGGGCTCTTTCTGACTCCCAGGAGAGAGCGTGACACCTCGATTAGTGCCCGGCCTGATTTGTTACCGTCTGGGGAGGGGCGAGGAATCCTGGGGCACTCTCTTCATTGTCTCGGGGGGAATGTAGGCAGAAAGAAGACAAAACCACGAAGTGTATTTCTCCTCTCCTTAGCCACTTTTCCCAGAGAAGTGGGAAGGCAGCGCCTTGCCAGAGTCGTCACTTGGAGTCAGTTCCTCCAGTGCCGGCAGCTCCAGGCCAACCTCCGGGAGGTGGCCCTAGACACCTGGCATAGTCCCAAAACTGGCTCATGGGCAAATTACTTTCACACAGAAAAGTATAAAACTGAAATTCTTTTTTTTTTTTTTGAATAAACACCCTAGTTCTCTCAGTGTTAAAAAAGAAAGGTGACAAGTATAATTAAGTATTTTCTTATCCCTCTCAATTTGGTTATTCTCTGCGTGGGCAGCGGAGGAAGCACAGGGTGCACAACACGAAGGACTTGTTAGACAAATGCTTTAACAGGCTTGTTTTATTTCACACCAACACAGATTCTACCAGAGGAAAGGCGTGGGGCTGAGCTCGATTACCGAAAAGCTTTTGGAAATGAATGGAAAAAGGCTGGGGGACATCAGGATCCAGACAGAGACAGACCAGATGAAGAATTTCTTGCAGCCCACCCTAGATACCAGTTGCTCTGCCTTAGTACGTACACGTAACTGGCCGCCTTTCAACTGGAACAGTCTTCCTTGGGTATCAAAGGATGTTCACAGTGGTGGTGTTTTTGCTCTTCTCCCTTTCCTGGGGCTTTTTGTACCCATCCAAGTGGACTATGGGTACCTTCCTGGGGGGCTACTTCAGCAAGGCAGTAGCACATAAAGATAAATCAGCAGTACCTTTCGGCAGAAGGAACCTGGGAGCTTGTTTAGGTTCCTGAAAGGGAGAGATTTGCATTTGGGCAAGTTAACCAATTCTTAAATGTCAGTTCTCCTCTTTGCATATGTTCACCAGAGACTTCAGCTTTCAGGTGGTGTACCCTTCTCAGGAGGGTAGGAAGCGCTTCAGTTTATCTGAAAGGCATTGGTATTTTTTAAAGCCCCTTTATAACTAAAGTTGGTAATTCTAATGTACGTGAAAGTTCCCGTTGAGTACATGGTTCTAAGCCTCTCTTGTCCCGAGGGCGCATGTGTGTTCTGTGGGGTTTGACACTTGGTATGCACGGTGGGCCCTTAAATTCTGCGGCCTGGTTCCTCAGGCTTTGAAGCTCAGAATTCATGAGTCTTTGTCCCTGATGTACTTTCCATTTTGTTTGACTTCATTGTTATTCCACATTTCACTTTTATGTGATTTTCCTTTTTATCCATTTCCTAATGTAAGAAGCTCACTGCATAAATGCTTCAGGCTCGAACAGTATCTTTGAGGAAGCAAAGCTGCCTGTGGGAATCGCTTCCAAATTACCCCATTAGGTGGCCCAATTTCCTGGCCACTCTTGGTGAATTCTAAATCACATGGGGGTGGGCAGGGAGGGTTCTAAGGCAGCCAGGCAGGTATGGTTCAGTCCTGCATGGCTAAGAATGCTATTAGACAAAAGCACAGATACTTGGGAATATTTAGAGAAATTTTGTCACTGGTTGGCCTAGAGCAGAATAGTACTGCTTTCCTCCTGCCCTAAGACAGAGGCCATGCCCCAGGCCCAGGAGCTGGTTTGCAGAGGTGGTACTTGACAGCGCCCAGCCTGGCACTGAACGATCTGGTTGAAAATTGGTGAAGGTGTCCTGTGAATGGTGTTCCAAATAGCACCAGGGTTTCGCTCTCAGGACCCAGAAAGAAAGGTAACTGTTACCAAAGGTGAAACTCTGAATAAACATTTGAGGCATCTGAAAGCACAGGCTTATCTTTGCTAGTTTGAGCCAGGACACTGTCAGTCCCTAAGAAATAATAATGTAATACACAAGTTTGTATGTACATGTTAACATGTTGCATTTCTTTTATTTCCTTTTGTTGGGTTTCACTGGTGATTTATCAACAAGCTAGATAAGTTACAGGGTCTGCAGCTCTGGGTAGATGGGGGATTCTACTCTTGGAAGTGGTTGCTGTCCATCTTTCCTAAAAATCAAACAAACTTAATGAAAGGAAGCTGATCCCAGGTTGGCCTGCCAGGTGTTGATAGGTGTATCCTGGGAAAGGAAAAGACTGTGTGGACACTTACCTGTATACTTTTTTTTTTTTTGTTACAGTGACCTTTGGTTTATCATTCATCCCTTTTTATTTCTTCTTAAACAGAATATGGTGCACCCGAAGATGGGGAACTCAAAATACAACAACCATTTATGCTCAAAAACCAGCTACTAAGTAAGAATCCCAAATTCAGATACAGCTTATTTGTATTCGAGTCCTTGGGTGCTGAAGCAGATAGTGATGGCCTATAGGCACTAACTGTGTCTCTCTTAAGTACCTAAGTGCCTTGAGTTTTAAAGAAATGATGAATTCTTATACATATCTAAATTCTTACATTAAACAGTTTTGCAACTCCAATGCTTTAAACTTATTTAATAGTTTAAACTATAACTTATAACTTATATAAACTATAACTTATAACACTATTTAATAGTGTTATAAATGCGGGAGGTATTTGAGTTGTGAACTGAACGGTGATTTGGAAATTTGGAAATTTTACACTTGAAAACCAGCTAACTTGTCAGGAAAGGAATACTAAGGGGGAAAAGGGAAAGTGAGAGCATGTTGGTTCAGATATTTTTTTTTTTTTTTTTTTGAGCATGTTGGTTCA